GGATGTTTAGCAGCATCCCTGGCTTTCTATGCGGTAGATGCTGGTAGCATACCCACAAGCCCAAGTTACAACCACCAAAAATATCTCCAGCCATTGCCCAATGTCCCCTGGGGAGGCAAAATCGCCCCCATTGGGAATCATCGCTCTAGTGTCAGAGGAGGGAAATTCCCTATTTGCTACTTCCCTTTTTGCTTTGCAGTGGCAGTGAGGATCTGTTCGGTTTTTGCTTAATAAAAGGTAGAAGACCCTTTGTGAGATTTTTGCCTAAGGAGTCAGAACTCTCTTTTTTAATTTTTAGAGACAAGAGAGAGAGAAAGAGAGGGAGAGAAATATCAATGTGTGGTTGCCTCTTGCATGCCCCCTAATGGAGACCTGACCTGCAACCCAGGCATGTGCCTTGACTGGGAATTAAACCAGTGACCCTTTTGGTCACAGGCCAGTGCTCAATCCATTGAGCCACACCAGCCAGGACATGAGTCAGAATTCTTAGCTAGGCCCTTGGTTTATGCTGGTGTCTGTGTCCTCTATGGACTCAGGAGGGTGCTCCTAACTGGCTGGAAGAAAACCTGACTTTGGAAAGAGGGACATTATTCTTTCCTCCCAGATATTTTCTTGTTTGTGCCTTGTTCTAACTCCACTTACAGAAAAAGAGAAAGCCTTAGTGAGAAGGGGAAAGATCAAAAAAGCCAACTAGAGGGGCTGAGGTACATAGGTCAGCCCAGAACTCCAGCCACCTCAGACTAAAGCACAAATGAAGGTGAATGGTAGTTTCACACCGAAGTCCTCAGGGCTCAATGAGTTAAGGGTTAAACTTGATGTTGACTCATCATGACTTTGATTACACAAGGGCAAAATGAGAGTTCTGTGTTTATTGCAGTTCCTGGAAAGCCTTCCATCTATTTTCATCTTCCTGCAGATCAGGGCAGTAGCCTAATTCCACCCAAGACGCTCATTGAGTAAAAGTACATAGAAATGACAAATAAAAGTTTGATGTTGAAGAAACAGCATTCCTAATCCTTGCCATCTCCTTCAAAAATTTTTTTTCAAAACCTCGTGTGATGTTTATGGTCCAGAGGAAGTGGAACTAACTAGAACTGTCTTACTCACAGACAGCAGGCCAGAACTACTGCAGCCACTACACCACGCTTTGTCTTTTTGCTCACACTGTTCACAATTATCAGCATCTTTTTTGGAGGCTAATGACAATAAGCCCTGACTCTTATTTTCCTAATCATTTGCTGCCATTACTGTTCTTTCATTAAGTACTGCCTCAGTCTATGCAGACAATGTGCCCAATGGCACTCAGCCAGTCCCCAGGGGCTCCTGTTCTTACTGGAGACTTCTTAAGGGCAGATGACATAATCGTTTTGGAAACATTATTATAAACTTATTGTATAAAGTTTATGGCAAATGTCAACAGCTGTGCACTTCTGCGGTGATGGGGAGGGGAAATTACATTATAAGAAATAATAACTGAGAAATAATTTTGCAGTTCTACAGGGTTTGATAGTTTACAAAGTGTTTTCGTAAACATTATTTTATTCAGTAACATTTGCAGGCAAGGATTTATTATGAATCTTGAACCTCAGGACACAATATCTCAAAATTTAGCCTAACACAGGCCTGTACCCTGGAAACCTGCCTTGCCTATTCCATCCCCTAAGGTGCCCCTTCTTTCTGCCCCACAATTCCTTGTTCTTGCCTTTACAATAGCCCCTGGCACTGGTTGCAGCTTTTTGTTGTCAGGGCCTCCTTTTAATGATGATCTACCACAGTTCCTGAAAGGACAATAAATATTCATTGAATTTGAGGGCCAAGAGTGAGGTTTTTGTTTTGGACAGTTTAAACATCCCTATTCCCTTTAGAGAGGGTCTGGGCTACGTGTATTATCAGCATTTTTATTGCTATATTTTTTTGCAACAGATATCAAGTATATACATTGGCTTAATTCAACCAAAATACACCTCAATTAGTGGGTCTCATCCATCCAGACATGACTCTTTTTGGGAAGTGGACCATGTCCATGTCCTAATCCAAGACAACTGTGAATGTGTGACCTTACATGACAAAAGGCACTTTGCAGATGTGATTAAATCAAGGGTTTTGAGATGGGGAAATTATCATGGATTATCTAGTAGGACCAATCTAATCAAAAGAGTTTTAGAGATGAAAAAAGGAGGCAGGAGGGCCAAAGTCAGAGAAGGAGATGTGACAAAGGAAGTACATGTCTGAATACTATAGCAACAAGATAAAGAATGTGGGCAGTCTCTAGAAACTGGAAAAAGCAAGGAAACAGATTCTCCCTTAGAACCTCCAGAATGCAGGTTGCTCTGCCCAAGCCTTGATTTTAGCCCAGTGAGTCCTCTGACCTCCAGAACTCTAATGTAATAAAACTGTGTTCTTTTAAGGCAGTAAATTTGTGGTAATTAGTTATAATAGCAATAAGAAATGAACAAAGTGTTCCTATTTTCCTCCCACCCCAGCCTCAATGGCCTACTTTCTCTACTCAATGTGTATCCTGACTTACTTTCCATTCTCTGAATACATACCCATGAAAAAGATACATGTAGAAAGTTAGGGACTTCTGGCCAAGATGGAGGTGTATGTAGATACACTTTGCCTTCTCGCACAACCAAAAGAAGGACAACAAATTTAAAAACAAGAAACAACCAGAACTGCTAGAAAATCGAATTGTCTGACAACCAAGGGGTTAAAGAAGAAACATTCATCAATACTGCACCACAACAGCTCTAGCTGGTGTGGCTCAGTGGATCCAGCACCAGCCTGTGAACCAAAGGATCGGGTTTGATTCTCAGTGTAGGGCAGATGCCTAGGTTGCAGGCCAGGTCCCCAGTAGGGGGCGGGGGAGATGCAGCCACACATTGATGTTTCTCTCCCTCTCTTTCTCCCTCCTTTCCCTTCTCTAAAATATTTAATTAATTAATTTTAAAAAGACTGCGCCACAACATAGTCATGTGAGTTGCCCTGCCCTGGCAAATACCTAAGGCTCCGCCCCTTCCAACGTAACAGGTGCACAAAGACAACGAAATAGGGCCCAAAGGAAAGAACAGATCAAAGCCCCCAAAACAGAACTAAGCAATGAATAGATAGCCAACCTATCAGATGCACAGTTCAAAACACTGGTAATCAGGATGCTCACATAAAAGGTGGAGTATGGTTGCAAAATAGAGGAAAAAGTGAAGGCTATGCAAAGTGAAATAAAGAAAAATATACAGGGAACCAACAGCAAAGAAAAGGAAACTTGGACTCAAATCAACGATTAGGAGCAGAAGGAAGAAATAAACGTTCAACTAGAACGGACTGAAGAAATAAGAATTCAAAAAATTGAGGAGAGGCTTAGGAACCTCTGGGACAACTTTAAACATTCCAACATCCAAATCACAGGGGTGCCAGAAGGAGAAGAGGAAGACCAAGGAATTGAACATTTATCTGAAAAAATAATGAAGGAGGACTTCCCCAATCTGGCGAAGGAAAAAGACTTCTAGGAGATTCAGGAAGCTCAGAGTACAAAGAAATTGGACCCAAGGAAACACACACCAAGGCACATCATAATTAAGTTACCCAAGATTAAAGATAAGGAGAGAATCTTAAAAGCAGCAAGAGAAAAAGAGGGAGTTACCTCCAAAGGCGTACCCATAAGACTATCAGCTGATTTCTCAAAAAGAAACCTTGCGGGCAAGCAGGGGCTGGCAAGAAGTATTCGAAGTCATGAAAGGCAAGGACCTACAACCAAGATGACTCTCTCCAGCAAAGCCATCATTTAGAATGGAAGGGCAGATAAAGTGCTTCCCAGACAAGGTAAAGCTAAAGGAGTCCATTATTACCAAGCCCTTATTATAGGAAATGTTAAAGGGACTTATCTAAGAAAAAGATGAAAACTATGAACAGTAAAATGACAACAAACTCACAACTATCAACAACTGAACCTAAAAAAAAACAGACATACAAACAAACTAAGCAAACTACTAGAACAGGAACAGAATTACAGAAACAGAGATCACGTGGAGGGGGAAGAGGGAGAATTGGGGAAAAGATACAGGGAATAAGAAGCATACCTGGTAGGTACAAAATACACAGGGGAGGTTTGTAATAGTATAGGAAATGGGAAACCGAAGAACTTATATGTACGACCCATGGACATGAACTAAGGGGTGGGTGATGCTGAAGGGAGGGCAGTGCAGGGCAAAGGCAAGAACAAGGAGGGCAATGAAGGGGAGAAAAAAATGGGACAACTGTAATAGTATAATCAATAAAATATACTTTTTTTTCCTTCTTCTTCTTTTTTTCCTTTTTTTTTTCTTCTCCACGCGTGTCCCGGAACTTTTTTAAAGATAAGGAAAGTTGCATGCTTTTAAAAATCCAAAGTATATAGTTTGGCACTAAACCTCATAATTAGAGTTGTGCTTTCCTTTCCACCCACTCAACACTATCTATTATTCAAATATACCTTTGGTCATTTTCACAAAGTCACTCCCACCAAATCCCATCTGTGCTCTTCCAAGTCCACCCTGTGAAGTTGGGCTGGGGTTACCAACCCTGGAGTTACAGTTTAGAAAACAATGGCGCAGAGGCCAACGATGGGAAGCCACCTCTCTAGACTCCTAGGCCAAGTCTATTTCCCGTAGATGGCCCTGCCCTAGTGCGCAGGAGGTCACAGTCCTTGGCACCTCTGAGGCTCCGCAAGTTGGCACGCAGCGGCGACGCGAGTCTCGGCGCGCGGGGGAGGGCGACCGGCAGGCACTAGGGCTGGGCCCCAACTAGGTGAAGGAAGTCTGGCCCGCAAGGAGACTTCGGAAGGTCCAGGAGGCTGTGGGGTCAACCGCGGCGCTGCTGAGCTGGGGAGCCACCACGCCCCGCCCCCGCCCGTGCTCGCCTGCCCGGGTTACCTGCGGCCGGTGGGCGGGGCAGCCTTTCCCGTCTGCGCCGGCCCCAGCCTCCAGGGCGGAGGAGCCGGGAAGTGGGAGCGGGAGCGAAGGAGGCGGGGACTGGTGAGGCTGCGGCAGGCAGCGGGGCTCGGAGGCGAGGGGCTGCATGGAGCTGCCGGCGCGGCTCTGCGGGCTGTGGGCTCTGCTCCTCTGCGTCGCCAGCTGTGGCGTCGCTGCGCCCACGGGTGAGTGAAGTCCCCCGTCCTGGGGCAGCGGACGAGGGGAGAAGTGGGGCGCGGCCGAGAGGCGGGCGAGGGCCCCGCGGGGCCGAGGGCCGCGACGGGGCTGGGCGCCGGCGTCTGTTTTCTCGACACGCAGCGCTCAGCGACGGTAGCCTCCGGCGCCCGCTTCGAGGTGGGGGACCTAAGAGGCGCCCGGGCTTTCCCGATCCCAGGCGGTGACGGTGGAGCGGGAGGTCAGAGACTCACCGCCGCACTTTCGCTGCGCCGTCGGGAAAAGCCAAGGAGCCTGGTGTCGGGGCGCGGGAGCGAAACATGCCTGCCGTTTCGGAGGTCGGCGGGTCGGGACCCCGAATGTCGCCTATGAGTCCAGGAGGGGATCGGGGGCCAGGATCCAGCGGGGACGGCGACAGAGATCCGGGCGAGCCGGGCCCAGTGAAGGGAATCGCTAAAGATCCTCGTCCTCCTAGGAAAAGGATGTGTCGGCACGGCCTCCTCTGGCATCCCAGAAATCCGTTGGGAACCGCAGACCCTTAGCAGCATCCGGGCGGATGCTTCCCCCCCTCTAATAACCTTTATATTTTGGAATAATTTTCTATTGACAGAAAAGTTGCAAAGAAATTACAGAGAGTTTACGTATACCCCTCACCCTATGCAGCAACTTTCATTTAACACGTCAGAATTAATGTGAAAAGTTGGGGGTCAATGACTTCCTCACGGAGAGCTCCTGGCACGAATGGCCTTCTGGACATTTTGGGCAATGACAGTAGCTCCAAATTTGATAGGTTTTTATTATCACATTGACAGAAACACCCACAATTTGCTTATTGCATGTTCACCAGCGCTATTGCTTTGAAACGTAAGTTGAAATGATGATTAGGAAACCTTGACGTCCTCTATTTATTCAGTCAGCAAAACACATGCAGAGTCTGGTCTGTGCCAGGCAGTCTAGGAGCTGAGGATGCAGGGGTTGGCAAAACAGATCAAGTCCCTGCCCTGTGGAGCTTATCTGCTATTGGGGGGTGGATATAAGGGAGGGGTAAAAGGTATGTCAGATGGTGCTAATTACTATTTAGAAAAACAAAAGCCGGGAAGAGGTTTGCCATTGTAAAGAGGATGGAGTTCCCATTGAAAAGATGAATATTTGAATAGACACCTGAGAGAGGTTTGAAATTTGTCAGTTAATAATTATTCAAGTGTCTGCTTTGTTTAGTAGTCAGCCAGGCTCTGTATGTTTGCTTAGAACCTGAGTGTGTACAGTATCATCCTTGGCCCCCAGGTGCCTCGAATTCTGTTGGAGAGACCCGATTCCCATCATTATTTGGGAAACTGCTGTCCAGTGAAGAGAAAGGACTTGTCTAGGGTTATCCATTTCATTTCTCTCCTGATTTTCGCAGTGCTACTCCACCATCTTCCCTTCTATGGACTCCCTCCCACACACACCTGAAACAACAGCTGACCTTCTAGACAATACTAGAAACCTCGACTTAGTTCTAACTTGATTACTTAGAATACAGTCACTTTTCCCCCCATTGGAAATACTGATGAAGTTGCATTGAGGTCTGATGAAGGAAAAAAAGAATTAGTCAGGGGACTTGAGTTTAGTGGTCCCAGCTGTGGGACCTTGGGCTAGTCATTTCCCCTTCCTTGTGCAGCAGTTTTCTGGGGAAGCTGGAGGTTGAACTGTGTAAGTTCTAAGGGCTCTTCTAGCGCTAATCTTGAGAGTTTAGAGAATGATTAGGTTACTAGCTTAGTTTAGTCTGTTTAGATTGGTAGCCCCCGTTGTGGCATGAATTAATAATACCAACTAGGATTTATATAGTGTTTGCGCTGTGCCAGGCAGTGTTCTAAGTTTTTCACTTATACTATTTTATTTAATCTTTATACAAAGCCTATCCTGTAGATGCTATTATTAGTCCCATTTTGCACATGAGAAAGCTGAAGCATATTGAAGAACCTTGCTTGAAGTCTCAGCTGGTAGAGTGGAGGAGCCAGGCTTCCAATTCCAGCAGCCCGATTTCAGAGGCCTTAACCACTGTATCAGTTCCTCTCTCTCTGTTCAGGAGTGAGGGGAGTCCTTGGTTGGGAGAGGAGCAGGGCGCCTTCCAGAGTAGCAAGGCAGGACTGGTTGGAACCCATGGAAGTATGTACTTGGCCACTTGTTATGAAGGGAATGATCATAGATGGGAGACTTGCTTTATAATTGCCACATTGTGTGGTCCAAACAGTAATAAGTACTGTTGGCCCTCAGAAGAGGGGAAACTGTGAGGGCTGATAGTTTCTTGGAAGCGGTAAAACTTGAGCTAGACCTTCAGGGTGAGTGGAATTTGAATAGGTGGGGAAGTTATTCCCATGGTGGGGAGCCTTGGGTAACAGGAGCAGACCCGTGTGTGAGAGGGTAAGAGTGTTCTTTTGTGATCAGCGAGGAGCCTGGCTTGGCAGGAGGTGCATTGGCAAGATCATTCCAGGCAGAAGTGCTTCATTTGCCCTTGAAGGCCCCGAGTTGGGGCCAGAGTAGGGGAATAACACTGGAGGAGAAGGGAGTAGGGAGATTCAGCTGGGTGAGGAGAATCACTGGAGTATGAAGCTATGCAGCAGTCTAGGGTTGAGGGTGTCCACTAGAAAGTTATGCTGTGAACATCTCCTGTCCAGGAGCATGACTGACTGCCTTGCGGGGCCCAGCAGAACACATTAGTGTGATTAGGATGACAGAGATGTTGGTGCAAGAAAAAATGGAAAGAGGTTGATTCTTGTGATATCCTTAACTTTTCCCAAAATATACATGCAAAACTATTAGGTAAGCAACATGCCTTATTTGAAAGAGCATTGTGTTAATTCCTAATTAGAATAGGATATTTTGCTAGATGATCACACAGACTCACTTGAGGTTTGAAGTTTAGTTGGGGGAGCTACTTGAGTCCCTCTCTCCTTCCCACTTTGCTTTCTGAAGTCGGTGATCTGCTTCTAAGAAATGAGTGAAATTAAATGCATAAAGGGCAGGTATATGAACGCAAGCAGTCTGGCTCCAGAGTCCATGTTCTTAGTCATTACACTATATTGAAATTCTGTGTCCTACTACATGTGAGCAAGAAGTATAGTCTCCACTTATTTATGTAGATGTCTGAGTGTATTATACACACATACACATGTATTCGTATATGTTTAAACATTTTGAGATTGTATTTGAAGTTTCAGTTTCTGTGTATCTGTGTGCATGTGTGTGTGTTTTAAAGTAGAGGGGAAGTAGAAAAATCTCAGAAGTGGAAGGAACCATTAGGGAAAAAAAAATAAGGATGGCAGATATCCACAAGTAGCCTAAAATGCAAAACAATGAGATCTGACTAAAGGACACTTCAAAACAGATGGGGGGAAAATTAAATCCATTTATGAGATTGGAAATAGGGCAGACTATTATTCTATTAAAATACGGAGGTTAAAAGTAGACTTTAAAAAGGTCTTAAACTAGAAAATTGCAGTCGGATTTAAGTGAACTGTGAACACATAATATTTTTTATTATCAGGGCTTTAATGTTTGTGTGGGAGTGGGAGGTAGGTGGGAAGGTTGTTTTAGGAAGTTTGCTGCACTGTGGCTCTGGAACCTGCAAAATAAGGCAGATAATCTTAAAGTAGATTGTAGTCTGCAGTAGGAGCGAGTTTTTATTACAGGCTATGTACCTGACAAATGATTTGTCTTCAAAAACAGCATGGATGAGATGTTAGAAGGGCCAAAATGGAATAGTTGTACACTCCTGTAATCATTTAAAATCCTGTTGCCTGAGCCATTGGTGCTCCCTCACACTACCTGGGTTAGAATGAAGTGCGATAGGAAATCCCTCTTTCTACAAGGACTTGGCCTGCTGTGAGCTGTCCTTCCCACGTTTGGGCCTCTGGTTTACCTTGCTGAAAATCTAATGGAGTCGGGAAAGAGGGGATGAGTATTGAGTCGAGGGCCTCTGTAGGCTGCTATGTATAAAATTGGCTGTTGGGGAAATCCCAACTACCTAGTGCCTGTGGAGTTGATATTTTGGGGGCACATGGGATTTCCGTTAAAGAGGAAAGTAATTCTGTAAGTAATTGCGGATTGTGTAAGAGGTCCAGTGCACTCCAAAGTGTTAGCATAGCATATGAAATATAACTATTCATTGACAAATTAATATAACTGTAGCCCTTAATAACGATTAAGTTTGCCACTTTATAGACAATTTGAGGGGTTTTAAAAATTAGTTTAATAAACTTTATTTTGGAATAAGTTTCGATATACAGAAAGGTTGTAAAGGTAGCACACAGCATTCCTGTACACTCCTCATCCAGTATCTGGGGGATGACTTTGGTAGTCCTGGAGTCAGGAGAAGTTCTCAGGAAAGTTTGAAATGATAACCGCCCCCAAAAGTATTTCCTTGTATTTGGCAGAAGCAGTAAAACTCCTTTCCCTGATCTTAGAGCTGGGTCCAAAATAATACAGTAAGTAGTGAAGACAGTGCTGGGTTTTCTCAAAATAAAACATATTTTTAAGATATTGGTTCACTGTTTCTCCTCTCTTCTTCCTCTCCAGATTAATTAAAGGTACAGTTTCAGCTGTCTAGTGTCAGACCCCAGGGGAATAGCAAGGGCTGTGAATCTTTTCTTTCTCAGTACTTCTTTGGAAAAGTTATCAAAAACAATTGTCAGATCACATTAGCAAGCAGATGAGCTGCTTAAGTTCACTGGCAGAACTGCTAAGATGGAAGTGACTTTATTGAGGGAGACGTCGATCCCAAGCGTGGGGAACCCCAAATCCCTGCAGAAGGAAAACTTAAAAACATACTCTTCTTTGTATAGCAAGTAGTTAAGAATGTGGCCTTGGAGCCACACGAATTTCTGTAAGCTCTGTCATTCACTGGGGTATGGGACAAGTGACTCAACATCCCTGCATCTCTGTTGCCTCATCCTTAAGATGAGGCTGATAGTCCCTAGCTCATAAAGTTGTGAGGATTCAGCAGATGAATATGTGGAAAGTTCTGAGTGCTGATATCAATAAATATTAGATATTTCTACTCAGTTTTATTATTCTTGGCATCTAGGACTTGGAGGGGTGAATTAAATGAACTACCCAAACACTGGCTGATGTCGATAAATTTATTTCTTTGATTTGATTTCAACAGAAACTCAGCCACCCGTGACGAATTTGAGCGTTTCTGTTGAAAACCTCTGCACAGTAATATGGACATGGAATCCTCCGGAGGGAGCCAGCCCGAATTGTAGTCTATGGTATTTTAGTCATTTTGGCAACAAGCAGGATAAGGTAAGTTTTCTGGAACACACAGAATTGATGAGGTAAAATGAACACTATGAATTGGAGCCAAGAATAAGCCCAATTCTGCCCTGGCCGAGTAGCTCAGATGGTTGGAACACTATGCCAAAGTTGCAGGTTTGATGTCCGGTCAGGGCACATACAAGAATCAACCAATGAATGCATAATAAGTAGGACAGTTAATTGACGTTTCTCTCTCTCTCCCTTCCACTCTCTCTCTCTCTCTAAAATCAATCAGTGAATAAAAAATTTTAAAAAAGGAATAAGCCAAAGTCTAATCTTATTTCAAGGTGAGAATTTTATTTTGGGCTATGTTTAAATTTTAACTGGGAAAATCACAGAAACAACTGTTGAGAAAATTGAACATATGAAATTATTTGCTAATTATTTAATAATCAAATGCAATTGAGATTCTCTGATAGGAGATACTAGATACCTTTATCTATTAGGCACTCAATAAATAATTACGTTAAAATTGGTTCCTGTGTTGCCTTGTATCTAGATAACACTTTCAGTTTGTCAGGGAATTTTCACATTCACCAGCTTGCTAATCACATGTCCAGATAGTTATACAAGAGCTTTGTGATGCAAAGCAAAGGGCTCAATGACAAGTGGAGAGGAAAAAAGAAAAAAAAAGATAAACTCAGCAGGTGGGGTGGACCAGGTTTCCTGATGCCTGAGGAAAAATGAGAGGAATTTTCAGCCTCTCCAGTCAGCCGAGGTTGATGCATTTAAGTGAATTTTTGTTAACAAGGCTGGATAATTTCAGGGTTTTTAAAAATGAATCTTATTCAACAGAATTTTCTCTTGGGCTTTATTGGTTTGTAGCCCCTTCTAATTGACAGGTTCTTCAAAGCATCAGATCATTTGTTCAAAACTGTCATATCTTTATACCTTCTTTCAGTGTGGGGTGGGAGAGTTGGGAATGTTGGGGGTTGAATTTGTCCAGGATTTTGAGGAGGACAAATGAGATGTCGCTGTTAGTGACAGTACTTTGAGGTGGTGAATTGTGAAATCACCAGTTCAAGCATTTTGGTGGCAGGGAGAGGCAGGAGAACTACGTTCCAACTGGTGTGCTACTTCGCTAGCTCAGTGGCCTGGGGTAAATTACTTCAATTGAAAAGGCCCCTTGGAGCCTCAGTTTCCTTGCGTATCAGGTGTGGATCTGCTCACTTCCCAGGTTTTGCCAGGACATGGAAAATAATGTATGTAAAGGCTTAATAAAATGAGGATGGAACAGGCTCTTTCTGTTGAGGGAAATATGCTAATCTGTTTTCCTGGACCTTTTCTTGCTGAGGTGTTAATTAAAGTTTAGGTGTTAACTGAGAGTCTGGTCAAAAGTATTTACATTTTAAAAGAATTTCTCTAAATGCGGAAGCCTGTAACATTTCTAGCAGTGAAACTTGAGTAGTCAGAGTTCTGCTTTTCACAATGTTGGCTTCCTCTTGTTCCTAAGGAGGGGCTTTAGGCGTTTCAGAGTCTTAGTAACAAATTTTGGTAGTTCAGATCTTGAAATCCTGGGAAAGACCCTTAAGTCTCCCGCAACTGTGAGAAGAGGTCAGTCTTTTTCAAACAGGTTCCTATTCCTTAGTCTGTTAACCATGCTCAAGGACCAGTCAGGTGATATTCTAGCCTAGAAATTGGGTTAATTTCTCAGTATACTTACAGAAATTTAGACATAAAAAAGTAACTTTAGGAGGCAGTGGAATCAGAGTTGGATTTAAAATTTTGTCTCTTCCCCTTTCAGCTGTGTGATCTTGGGCAAATCACTTAACCTCTCTGAGGCTCCGTTTTCTTGTTTGTAAAAGGCTGGTTGGGGGGATCAGCTACTACTGTTGACCCTTGAACAACACGGGTCAGAACTGCACAGGCTCACTTATATGCAGATTTTTTCAATAGATACAGTTGGCCCTTCATATGTGCCAGGTTTGCCTCTGTGTGTTCAACCAACTGCAGATCAAAAACAGTACTTTTGCATTCCCAACTGCTGTTTTCCAAGTGTGGATTGAAAAAACTATTTTCAGTCCATGGTTGGTTGAATCTGTGTATTCAAAGGGCCAACTGTAAGTCAAAAGTTATATCAGGATTTTAGACTGCTGGAGATGAGGGTTGGTATTCCTAACCTCCCCCGCCTTGCATTGTTCAAGTGTCAAATGAACCTACTTCATATGAAGGGCACGTGTATTAAAAGAAGACGATGTTTGTAATGCATCTGGCACAGAGTTAGTGTTCAATAATTGTTAGCTTTTACTATTATTAAAAATTTTTTAAATATTTTATTTATTTATTTATTTATTTTTAGACAGAAGGGGAGGGAGGGAGAAATGGGGAGAGAAACATCAATGTGTGGTTGCCTCTCATGCGCCCCCTACTGGGGACCTGGCCCACAACCCAGGCAAGCACCCTACCTGGAAATAGAACCAGTGATCCTTTCGTTTGCAGGCTGGTGCTCAAGCCACTGAGCCACACCAGCCAGGGCAGCTTTTACTATTATTAACCATAATAATTGTTGAACCATAAGCAATTGTCACTTTTATAGGTAATATTATCATTTAATTTTGTTCCCTCCATTTTGCCCCTGAGGAGACCAAATGGAGACCATACAGGGTGACCTTTGCTTAAAGTCATTTATTCCAGCTATTTGACAGTGTTGATGGCTGTCAATCCTGCATTTATGATAAATATAGATTATTCCCTCCAATTAGTGCTGCGGGGTACTTCTTGTTTGGATCTATTGAAGGTTAGAATCTTGAGGCTGAGCATGAATGGCAGGAGTAATTTTCCTTTCCTCTTTCTGTCCTTTGGACTCAGCATTAACATCATAAGACACAATTAGGGTGCCTATATACTTTGAAAGCATATTGAAGAAGTTGCATTATGATAGCTCCTCCATGTGAAGTGGCTTATTTTAATGTCTTAAAGTCTCAAGTTGCTAAATGAGTTCATTTTTAGTCTTAAGGTTGGAGAGCCATTAAGGTGAGTCAAGGATTTATAATTAATTCTTAAACATAAAGAAAATTAGGTAACTGGTTGTCCACCACCACTGTTTTAATAATCTGTAATAGTTTCTCAATCTGGCAAGTGCAAGAAGGATGTGGAGTCAGATTTTAGATATCTTTCATCACCAAGAGATACGTAAGTCTCACCAGGTGAATAAATTAAAAGGTGGTGGTTCTGTGCAGGCTTCCAGAGAGGCAGAGCTCAAGCTGACACCCCTTTCCTGCTGAGAAAGGAATCTACAAGTGGGAATGGTTTGATCCAGCAAGATTACGACTGGTCCTAAGGGGAAGAGATCAGTTCAGGACTCTAGCCTTGGTTTTTGATAAAATTTTGAGAGGAGGCCAGAATATCTGATGGGTGGAGCACCATGGCATACTGCAGCTAGCTACCAGTAGAGTGAGTCACTATAGCTGAAAGTCATGTGGGCTATCACACGGACTTCATCAAAATCTGCTGGGAGGGCTTTAGTTCCTTGTCCGATAGAAAGGTGTGGTTGACTTGACCGTCATTGACAATTTGGGTTCCTACTTTATTCATGCCAGTTTAATATTATTTACCTCGAGCTTTGAAAGACACTTCCGAAAAATGCTTCTTTCCCCCTACCTTGTCTTTTCTAAGCCATTTTAGCATTCCTATGCCCAAAACATAAGGTTCAAATTTAGGTACTAAAGTATTTTTTCAATTAAAAATTCCATGATAATAAAAATGTGTAATAAAACTCCACAGCCCTCTGGGAGTTTTATTACACATTTCTAATAAAACTGAGATTTTTCCATGATGATTCTAATTTATGGCATTTGACTGCACATTTGGTTCTGGTATCTACAAAGGGCAAATGCAGCTTCCTAACAAGAATTATCAATGATCCTGGGGCGGGAGTGGCTCCTTTAGGAGTACATAAGAAGTCCTGCAATAAAGTTGTTTTGTTCAACATCATTTTGTTGTAACATCAATGAGATGCCATACAAACTCAACGCTTACATCAATTAGCCTATGGTAAAACTAAGTCACAGAATGATTGATGATGTTAAGTGAGGCCATACTGTGTAGGACTTATGCTTAATAAAATTGTTAGGTTGGTGCAATTTGCATTCCGAGTTTTCCTGCCATGATTACCATGATCCTGGGGCTGGTTTTCAGCTGCACAGGCTGAGAAACCTTATTTCCTCAGCACACATTCACCTCTCAAGGGCCACTTCCTTACTTTGCCACGAAAACTGTAAAGGTGAAATTTTCTAGATAACCTTCTTTTGGCCTAACTGGTGTGTTCCATTCCTGTTGGTAGAATTGTATGGAAAGCCAAATGATAAGTAGGCTTCTTGGCAAGGAATTAGGAATTAGTTGTGAAAATGTACTTGCTTAAGAATAGTCGGAGGCCCTAGCGAGGGTAGCATAGCTTTGCTGGTGGGACAGAAAACTCAGACCTAAAACCACAGAACTAAACCACCCTCTTGTCTCCCAGCCAGAATTTTGTTAGTATACATTTCTTTTTCTTATCTTCCAGGGCTGACCAACTAACTCCCTTTTCAGAGGGTGGTCTTTTCTGGGACTAAGAGCTGTTCAATCCCTGTAAAGTGATTGTTTTTCATGTCCTTGCTATTGTTCATGAATTCTTGATTTGCTAGCTACTTCTCAGAGGGCATCCTTATGTGCTGGTTTTGGGAATACCTCACAGTTGCCCTTATGTTCAGCTGGCAGCAGGCATGAGAAATGGCAGAGTAGTGCCTTAGGGTGGTAAGTAGAGGTAGCTGTGACAAATTTTCCCTTCGTGGCCATCGGCACGTAAGTAAAAGGAAATGCTGTCTCCAACTTGAGTCAGAAACTATTGCAAAACAGGAAACTCCTTGGAGCTCTGATTAAAAGCAACTCCATTCATAATTATTCCGTCTCTCGCTTTGGGAGATGTTATTTTTCTTAGGAGCCCTTTAATTTTATTATTCTAAATCATAATAATCAGATTTCTGATTTATGTCTGTATGTTGTCTTTAAGTTGGCTTGCTGTGGTTCCAGAAAGCTTATCTACTTTTCAGAATGAGAGTGTGGTATACTTAGTGCATATATCAACTCTTAAAATTTATATGGGTATATAAGATAGACAAAGTGGTCAAACAATACAGAAAGATGTTTAAAGAAGTCTCTGTTTGGCCCTGAAGGCCCTGTTTCTTTACTTCCTCTCCTCGAGGTGACCAGGATGACTAGATTCTTAGAGCAGTTTTTTTTAACCTTGGTCTTTTTTTTTTTAAAGTATATTTTATTGATTATGCTATTACAGTGTGTCCCATTTTTTTCCCTCCCTTTTATCCCCCTCGGCTTTACACCCCACCCCCACCAGCATTGTTCCCCCTTAGTCCATGGCCATGGGACATGCATATAAGTTCTCTGGCTTCTCCATTTCCTATACTATTCTCAACCTTCCCGTGTCTCTTTTGTTCTTACTCCCTATACGTTTTCCTCCATTCTCCCCTCTCCCCCTTCCTGCTGCTAAAGTTCCATGTGATCTCCATTTCTGTGATTCTGTTCCTGGTTCTAGTTGTTTGTTTAGTTTGATTTGTTTTTGTTTTTTAGATTCAGCTGTTGATAGTTGTGATTTTATTGTCATTTTACTGGTCATAGTTTTGATCTTCTTTTTCTTAGATAAGTCCATTTAACATTTAATAAAATAAGGACTTGGTGATGAACTCCCTTAACTTTACCTTACCTGGGAAGCACTTTATCTGCCCTTCAATTCTCAATGACAGCTTTGCTGGATAGAGTGATCTTGGTCGTAGGTCCTTGGCTTTCATGACTTTGAAAACTTCTTGCCAGCCCCTTCTTGCCTGCAAGGTTTCTTTGGAGAAATCAGCTGATAGTCTGATGAGAACTCCTTTGTAGGTAACTGTCTCCTTTTCTCTTGCTGCTTTTAAGCTTCTCTCCTTATATATAATCTTGGGTAATATAATGATGATGTGCCTTGGTGTGTCCTTCCTTGGGTCCAACTTCTTTGTGACTCTCTGAGCTTCCTGGATCTCCTGGAAGTCTATTTCCTTGGCCAGATATTCCTTGGGGAATAATGAAGTCCTTCTTAATTATTTTTTCAGATAAGTGTTCAATTTATTGCTCTTCCTCTTCTCCTTCTGGCACTCCTGTGATTCGGATGTTGGATTGTTTAAAGTTGTCCCAGAGGTTCCTAAGCCTCTCCTCAATTTTTTGAATTCTTGTTTCTTCATTCTGTTCCAGTTGAATGTTTATTTCATCCTTCGGCTCCCAATCGTTGATTTGAGTCCAAGTTTCCTTTTCTTCTTCACTGTTGGTTCCCTGTATATTTTTCTTTATTTCACTTTGCATAGTCTTCACTTTTTCCTCCATTTTGTGAGCATCCTGATTACCAGCATTTTGAACTGTGCATCTGATAGGTTGGCTATCGTTCATTGCTTAGTTCTATTTTGGGGACTTTGATCTGTTCTTTCATTTGGGCCATATTTCGTTGTCTTGGCTCTTAGCCGGCTTTGAGTCACTTCCCCCGCTACCCACAAGCAAATTGGGCCCTTCTAGTGCTGATTGCTGCGTGGATGGGTTTGTGCGTGTTCTAGGACCCTGTGGGTCTCTCCATCAAACTCTCCTGTGAGGCTTGGTGTTTCTCCTGCTGCTGCAACCCCCGCAGGTTTTTATCTCCGGAGATTTGGTGGCTTTCTTTTTCCCACACTGGAATCCTGGATTGCGCGGTCTGTCTCACTCCCTAGCTGTTCCTCCTGGTTTATCCGCATGCAAATGTGTGACTACATGGTCCACCAGCCGCTGCCTGCCTGGACCTCCAGCCGCTGCCTTGCCGGGTGCCCTCTCTGCCCCGCTGCTCATCTCCACCCCTCCTACTGGTCTGGATGAATTTTTTTTTTTAACGCCTTGGTTGTCAGACTTCCATACAGTTCGATTTTCTGGCAGTTTTGGTTGTTTCTTGTTTTTAAATTGGCTGTTGTCCTTCTTGTGGTTGTGCAAGGAAGAAAAGCATATCTACCTATACCTATAACTTGGGCAGAAGTCTTTTTTCACCTTGTTATTGTTGGCATATGGCATCTGTTTGGAACTGAATTTTGACAGTATTATTTTGTTTCCTTTTGTTTCCTTTAGAATTGTTTTTAGATGGTTGATGTTTTAGTTTGGTAGGTTTTAGGGGTAAATGTCATGATGTTTATACATTTAAAAAGTGGGACATTGTCTTTTATCTGTATCAGGGTTTCTTAATTGTGGCACTACTGACATTTGGTCCAGGATGATTTTTGTTGTGGGGGGAGGGAAGGCTGTACTGTGTATTGTATGGTGTTTTGCAGCATCCTTGTCCTCTACCCACTAAATGCCAGTAGCAGCCCCCTTGATGTCATGACAACCAAAAATGTTCTTAGACGTTACCAAAGGTCCCCAAGGGTGGGGGATGGGGCAACATCACCCCAGGTTGAGATTACTTATCTATACCATTGGATAACTCCATTTTTTATTCATCTGGGCATGCTAATGTTTTATTATGTAAGTGTATTTGTCTGTATTTGCTATAGCAATCACTATTTTTATTTTCTAACCTTAGAAAATTGCTCCAGAAACTCATCGTTCGAAAGAAGTGCCCCTGAACGAGAGGATTTGTCTACAAGTGGGGTCTCAGTGTAGCACCAATGAAAGTGACAATCCTAGCACTTTGGTGGAAAAGTGTATCTCACCCCCTGAAGGTAACAACTGAAAGCAATTTCTCTTGATATATAGAGAATAAGTCCAAATTATCCATATGCTTATGTTCAGTGTTCATTAATGCATTCAGTTGCAAACAATTTGCTGAGTCTAATAAGTTCCAAGCACTTGTTCTAGGAAATAGCAACACAGCGATCAATATGAGGATGTCCTGCTTTCCAGGTGCTCACAGAACCTTGAATAACAATACCTAATAGTTATATAGCACTTACTAATTTGGAAAATGACAGACAGACAGACAGATACACACACACACACACACACACACACACACACAGTTTCTCTAAATCAAGCCTCATAAGCGTATTTTGTGAAGTGAGCAAGGCACATATTATCATTACTCTTTCCATTTTATAAGGAAACTGAGTAAGTTGCTGTAGGTCTTCAGATTCCAGGTCCAGTGCTTTAAAAAACCGAAAATATGTACTCTCTTGCTCATTATAGGGAGTTTAGTTTGAAATACAGGATATATTTGGGGAAGGATGTTAAAAAAGAAAAATGAACTGCTGGCCTGGCTCCAATTCAAGATTAGCCCTAGGAAAAGCTGTCAAGTAGTCAGGTTGATCGCTGTCCCACAGCTGCCTTCCCACTCATCACTCAGTATCCTTTTGGCTTTTATGTTGCATGCAGTAGTAGTGCATAATGGTTCAGAGCAGAACTACCAGAGCCAAAGGTCCAACTTTAAAACTCAGCTCTGCCGGTTTCTAGTTGTGCGACCATGGGCAAATCACTTAGCTCTTCCTCCTTTAAGTTTCCTCATTGGTAGAATGGAGATAATGATAGTACCTACCTACCAGGACTGTTGAAAGGATTACTTAAGTCAGTATACGTGAGGTGCTTAGAATAGTTGCTGGCAAAGAGTACATATTCTGTACTTATTAATTACTAATATTATGTTGCCCCTTGGTTGTGCACGGCCAATCTCCTACCTCCAAACCTTAGCACTATGTGACATGTTCTCCAGACCATTCTGTCTACTTTTCTTGCACTGATCAAAAGTATATGAAGTGGCCCTGCTCAGGTAGCTCGGTTACAGTGTCATTCCGATGTGCCAAGGTTGTGGGTTTGATTCCCCATCACAGCGCATACAAGAATAAACCAAGGAATGAATCAATAAGTGGAACAACAAAATCAGTGTTACTCTCTGTCAAATCAATAAAAAGGTATATGAAGTAATATTGTAAAATTATAAAATTTGGAGGGTGGGAGCATGGTTTAAAACAACTTGCCTCCCCTATTCTCATTTCTTTAGGAGTTTAATAAATAATCTGAAAAAAAAATCCTAAATTGTATTATGACAGTAAAATGGTTGATGATGACTCAGTACAATACCACTTCAAAGATCCTGGGGGATAACAGGTTTGCATTTTAAACAGAGGCATTTAATATAGAGACATGACACCTCAACTCAAAACACTTTTTAACAGTGGAGATTTCAGATCATAAAGAGTTTAAAGCTCCTAAAGTTATAACACACAATAGGCAACTACTGAGAGGTATGTTATGCTTACCTTTTTCCTAATTGCTTTCAGGAAGAATCTTTAATGTTTATAGCAAGATGTGATAATATTGAACAAAAGATAAGAACATAAATTATAAGCTCATAAACTTGTTATTTTAAGGATAGGTAGGTAGTGTTCTCTTCGGTAGCACATAGACTAAGACTGGAATGATACAGAGAAGGTTAGCATAGCCTCTGTGCAAGGATGACATGCAAATTTGTGGAAAAAAAGTAGGTAGATACAGAGGTTGTTTATATTTTCACATTCATTTAGGAATCCTATAGTCATTTCTTATGATTAAAATATTATTTGACCTTTCAACTGTCCAGTTCGGGATATAAGAGTTAGGATCCCTAAGTGACCAAAAAAAAAAAAAAATGTTTTCTCAGTATGTGGAGGTGAGAGAGAAAATTGTGAGCATTTTTGATTTGGGTAAAGTAGCATGCAACATCCCCACTATCTCTATGCCCCAGAGTGATTGGCTAGTCTGCCTTATAAGGAAAGGAGGATCCTAAATTCTTTGCTGGGTATTCTAGGTGATCCCGAGTCAGCTGTGACTGAGCTACAATGTGTTTGGCACAACCTGAGCTATATGAAGTGTACTTGGCTCCCTGGAAGGAACACAAGTCCTGACACTAACTATACTCTCTACTACTGGTAAGTTTGGATAGAAGACTTACAGAGGAACGACTGTTGTGATGGTATTGGGAGTCTTTGGCTCTAACCTAGTTTTAAAAAATGAAAAGAATGGCCTATTTTCGATACACCCAGGAAGATGGGCAGTTTGGTGCAGTGGAAAATGCATCTGCTTTTGGTGTCTGCTAAAAAACCCTTTAAAACATCATTATTCATCCACAGGATGTCACAAAAAATGCACAGGGAGATCCTGTGTTCCCTTCACCCAGCTTCTCCCAGTGGTAATGTTCTGTATAGCTAGAGGATGATATCAAAACCAGAAACTTGGTGTTGGTACAATCTACTAAACTTTTTCAATGTTTACAAGTTATTAATGCATTCATTTGTGTGTGTATGTGTAGTTCTATGCAATTTTATCACATGTGTTGATATAGAACAATTCCATTACCACAAGGATTCCTCGAGTTTCCCTTTTATAACCCTACCCACCTCCCCCTCGGCACCCCCTCCCCCTGCACCGCTCACCCTCCAGTCTCTAACCTCTGACAACCACTTATCTGTTCACCTCTATAATTTTGTCATTTTAAGAATGTTACTGGAATGGAATCATACAGCATATAACTGCTTGAGGCAGACTTTAAAAAAACTTTATATAATACCCTTGAGGTCTATCCAAGTTGTTGTGTGTATTAATAGTTTATTCCTTTTCATTTCTGAGTGGTATTCCATGATATGGATGTACCAGTTCATTTAAGCATTAATTTACTGAAGTATATGTTGATTGTTTCTAATTTTTTATTGTTATTTTTTTGTTACTGTTATTTTTTAAAATCTTCACCTGAGGATATATTCACTGATTTAAGAGAGAGAGAGAGAGAGAGAGAGAGAGAGAGAGAGATGGAGAGAAAGAAACACTGATGTGAGAGAGAAACATTGACTGGCTGCCTCCTGTATGGGCCCCAATTGGGGATGGAACCTGCAACCTTTTGGTGTCTGGACAGCACTCCAGCCAACTGAGCCACTCGGCCAGAGTCGTTGTTTCTAATCTTTTGCCATTTTGCATGAAGCTGCTGTCAATATTTATGGACATAACTTTTTGTTTCTCTGGAATAAATGCCCAAGAATACAGTTGTTAGGTCTCATGGTAATTTTGTATTTAGTTTTATAACAAACTGCCAAACTGTTTTCTAGAATGGCTATACTGTTTTACATTCCCACCAGCATTGTATAAATCATTGGTGTCTACCTTTAAAAAGGAAAATTGTATCCTGCCCAGGGTTAAAAACTAATTTAGTTCTCCACACAATAGCTAATGTTTGATATTTGTGACTATAGCTACAAAATCTGTTAAATTTCTAAATAAATTTTTAATCATTTCCTTTTCTTTAGAGCCTAGAATTATTAGCAAAAAGACAAGGATGAACTGATCAGGTCAATCAATTCAATTCAATAAAACTTTAATTAGCACACATTGTGAGTAAAGCACTGAACGGGCAGCTGAGATGAGAAACATGTGTCTGTTCCTAAAGCTTAAAATGTAAAGAGGTAGACAGTGTCCACACAATTACCTATATAAAAAGAAAAAAAAAAGAGTGAAGGTGAAGACTGTTGCAGAGGTCTAGACAAACTCATGAGAAGCTAGTGTGGAGCTTAGGGTGGTGGCAGGGGAGACTGGGAGGCTTTGATGAAGGTCAACAGCATAGGTGGTATTTGGGGAGGAGCGTTCTGAGGAATGGGGATGTTTAGTCAGTATGATGTCAAGGAGGGGAAATGGGAGAATTAGCATTGGCAATCTGCTAGTCACGCGGCCTTGCCCCTCTTTCTATCGTTCATTCAAATTGCTTCACATTGAATGGTGTTCAGAAACCATGCCCAGGACTTCTGAAGCTATAAGATAAACATGGCCTTTCATCCTGGAGTGTCCATTTTGCCCGATGACTTGATGAGATGTATTTTTGGTATATTAAAACACTCATGGCTAGATCATGGAATAGAATGCGAAAGTCACATAACTTTTTGAACAGAACCTCCAAAGTTACCTGAGGTTTCATATACTTCTGGCAAAGATGAAAAGCCCTGCTGGGGAAGCCAGACAGCCCCTCCCCTCTTGCACTCTGCTACTCAGCCCACACTGAACTTCTTTCAGTTCCTCAAACTTGACTCTTCAAATGCTCAAACAGAATGATGGAATTCCAGCAGAATAGTGGAACCATTCTGTATGTCCTCACAGCCTGTGTCTTGCCCTCTCTCCTGGATACGTCTTATTTGTCCTTATCTTACTTCAGACATTACTTTCTCTCTACAAAGCCTTCCTTGACCTCTCAAGTCTAGATATGTGTGTCCCATCATCATCATGTCCCAGAGCACCTTGCACTTTTCTGTCTCATAGTACTCGGCAGTGTTGTCATTTCCTGTTTACTTAGTGGTAGCCCTTCCCAGACTGCGGTCTCCCTTGAGAGCAGGAACTGTCTTGTTTTCTCCTGTGCCTGACACATGGTAGATGCTCTGTATATAAGTTTTTTTAATGTTTTGTAGGTAGCATCCGAAGAGAGAGAATATTCGAGACTAGAGTGAGGACTTAGGAGGGATAAACAACACAGGAATATTATAGTTCAGGACCAAAAAGAGAGGAGGATTGCATATATCTCATTCTCTAAGGAAATGCTAGTGAAAGGGCCAGAGAACGAAACTTCAGAAGAAGTAGCCTGGGTCTCATGATGTTGCAGTGAGCCTGGAGAGAGCTATTATTACAGGCTTTAAAGAGACCTTAAAAGTTGGTAACATTCTGCGTTTATTATGCTATTAACTCCCCTTCCTTTCTCTGGAGTCGTTATTAACATCACAGGGGAGACCTTTAAACAGTCTCTGTCTATAGAGGGCGCAGGGAAACGAAGGGAAGACATCTTAAAACTGGCTTATTCCATGGCAAACTATGCAGGAAAGTAACCCAGATATAGCAATTGGGGTGACACTGGAGATAGATGGTGGCCTTGTCCTTGAATTTCTTATAAGAAAAATAGGGAAGTGCCTTGGGTCATATCCTAGCACAAACCAAGTCTTAGAGCAAATTGCAAAATGATTGCCCTCCTGGGTGAAGATATTAAAAAAGAACTAGACCAACCAATTGGAAAAAGTATTCTACTTCTGGGTTCATGCAGTCTCTTGCCAAAGCTGACAGCAGGCGGTGCTTGGGTTGCCTTTCAGCCCTCAGTTGATGAAAGTGCAGGACACAATCTCCCATCATTGGAGGTGTCTCAAGAAGTCATCCCAAGGGAGTGGTGGTTCACTGGCACCCCAGGAGACAGGGATCAGGGATAGCACTTCCTGTCATACACATTCCTGGAGTTGTTCATCAGCGTGTACTCTTGCTATACCTGTGCTGTTCAATATAGGAGCCACTAGCTATGTGTGACCCTTTATGTTTTAATTTAAATTAATTACAATAAAAGCAAATTAAAACTTTAGTTGCTCAGTCTTACTACCCAATTTCACACGTGGCTAGTGGCTTCAGTGTTACCATTGATATAGAACATTTCCGTAACCCCAGAAAATTGTGTTGGGCAGTGCTGTTACAGATTCTATATCTTCTGCCCTCACTCTCCTGTAACTTACTGTTTTCCGGTTCAAGTCTTGGTTCTCTTCCTTACTAGCAAGTGTGATTTGGGGCAAGTGCCTTCTGTCTGAGACTCAGTTTCATAATCTGTAAAATGGGGGTAGTAATAATATTATTACTTCTTAAGGTTGTTGTGAGGTCTGCTATTGTATGAAAAATGTTTAGAGCTGTGCCTAACTGCTAATATGTATACAGTAAGCACTTCATATATGATAACTATTATTTTTATTATTAATCCTACTCCCTTGCAGATATAGCCAGTACACATTGCTGGCCTCTTCCCCCACCTCACAGGATTAGCACCTAGCCCATACTTCCTCCTCCTTTGCTCTCCCTAGAGAGATTCTTTCTAATCAAAACCACAGAAGAGAGAGACTCATGGCTCATTCATTACCAAGCACTTGGCATTGATTTAGGTACCAGTTTAAATCATGTCAAACTGCTAGACTGTTTCCCTAATCCCTAATCCGAAAATGTAGTGTCATTTTCAAGACCCAGGACACTGACTTGTGGCTTGGGATGGAGAGTATGGCACTGAAGGAGCCTGACCTTAATAGCCACATACTAGCCATGCCAATGAATTTTAGGGAATTTCTTACCAGATTAATCATCTTCAGAGTTGGGGATATAGTCTTTCATTCATCCCTTTCCTCCTCCTCCTCATTATGTCTGCAGTGTGAGTCTATGGAGGATTTCAGTGTGAAATTTTTTTTTTAAATTTTCACCCAAGGATATGTTTTTACCAATTTGAGGGGGGGGGAGAGAGAGAGAGAGAGAGAGAGAGAGAGAGAGAGAGAGAGAGAGAGAGAGAGAGAAACATTGATTGGTTGCCCTGACCCTGTATGCACCCCAACTAGGGATCAAACCCTGAGCCTTTTGGTGTATGGGACAACACTCCAACCATCCGAGCCACATGGCCAGGGTTGTGTGTGATTTTTAATATGAAGTAACTGAATGCCTTCTATCTTAGGTTATCATCTGGTCTTTCGCAAGAAGACCCCAAAAGTTATTTATTCAAAACCAATATTTTCTGTTTTCTTATTTTTTTCTAAATTACATATCTGGGGTCTGTGAGAATATGTGAAATATTCAGGGTACAAAATTGACAAAGGAATCTCAAAGATTTCCCATTAGAGGAGTTCCTTCATTATTTGAAACAAAAATAATTTTCAACATAGTTTGCTTTAGTTATATAACAAAAATGTCATGTGTCTTCGGTTTCTGTTTCTGGCTGTGGATGGAAAACATTCCAGGCCTGTGTGATCTAAAAACTAGCTAGGACAGATAGTTTTTTAAAAGGCTGTTTTTATTCATGAACCGCTGGGGCCTACAACTAGGAGAAAAGCCTTAGGTACTATTTTTTAAGGAACAAGAGCATTTTTCTATATTGAAGCATTTCTTTGCAGAG